CGGGGATTGCGCATATGATCAAGACGGGAGATCATTAGCCAACCACCAACCAAATAGATACCAATAAGGATACGAGTAACTAGCTAGCATTCAGGCAACAAACCCGTAAACTCCTCGTGTACTCTGTGGTAACTGCAAAATTAGACTACAGTCAAATCAAAAACCATAGTGTGCTCCTTAGCCAACAAAGCCAAACTCGAAACTCCGTATAGAATCAAGAATAAAACCAAAACTACAAAACTACACAGCCCCTCTTACACAGTAAACCGGAGCAAGCCCCGGCCGTAAAACACTAAGAATAGAAAATGAATCATCTTCAAGACCCAACCTCAACTTACCTTGCATGACATGATGAACAATGCATCCCGAAAAAAACGCGCAAGCCTCACACGCATGACGGCCTACACGCTACGCCACTGCAGTACAGTACTAGCGGTTCCACAGAAGGAAGCTAGGGAAGAAGGTAGTAGTAGCCTACTAGGGCTGACATGGCCTCCAGGAGGGGTTCGTGAGCTTCGCCTCAATTACAAGCAGGGTTCGCTTTAGTGCTTATTTACCCCCACTCTGCGAAGGATAAGATATGATGGTCAACTGAAGCCTAGTGGTTTTTTATTGTGGCGTATGTGAGGGATATCTTTGTTTGCCCGGGCGGGAATCGAGAACAGATTTATGTTGCTAGGCTGCTTGATCTAAATTGGGGGCTTCGTATATAGAAATACGCGGGTGAAATAGGGAGGAATGGATAGGGATAGAGTTTGGGGTTTGGCCTGTGCATCCTGTAGGATCACCAGCTTAGTTTCAGATATTTGTGTTGGGATATTGTACATGTGCCCGAGAAACGGTGCCCCGCGCATGGACTGGGGCCAATACAACGTCACGATTTTGGGTAACCGCTGTTTGCTAGATGTAGTATGAATCGAGGGATATTGTGCCGGCGGTTGGGTTGGGGTCGAGTATTTGTCAAGGTGTGATGGAATGGAAATTTCATGATTTGAATGATTTGATAGTTCCCGTCTGGTTGCATCCGTTGGTTTCCGCAACCCTGTCGAGATAAATCGAGGTGAAGGATCGTCAGTATTTGAGTTGTTTGATATAAATCGGCAGCCAGCCAATGTAGATGGTATTGTACCCATGTCTGCTGGAGTAAGAACTTCGTTTGCTAGTTTGATCTAAGAGATTGTTGATCATGTAACAGGCATATCGGCCTTGTCATCTAGTAGCAATGATAACACGTAAATTAATAGAAACCCAGAGAATCAAGGATTTCCTGACGGCACAGATGGAAATAACGAAGGGTTCTTCAGTCTTTCCTGATTCCGCTTCGCTATTTCGATGTTGCGTTGCCGGTCGATACGCATCTGATAGAAATTCCTGTTCGAAATCAATGGCTATATCATAGCTAAGGGTTATTCGAAATCTCATACTTATGCAAAGCGAAAACTCGTGGTGAATCATTCGTTTTCTTCTCTATTCCAGCACCTTCCTGAATAGAGGCAATCTTCCAAAGTCAGCTAGCACGATCATACAACATTTGCAGGTACGTACCCTCTCATCCCTTTCCTTTTCGTCATTCGTATTTGAATTTTTGGATTTGTCCTTGTCTTTAGACTCATCTTTACTCTTGACTTTGTCCTCTTTATCTTCTCTGCTTGACTCCTTTTCGCGCTCTTTCTTTCGTCGCTGCTTCTCCTCATATTCTTTTTTGACCATTTCAATTTCTTTCGCCATTGCTTCTTCTTTGGCGCGTGCTGCTTGGCTTTCTGTGTCGATTATTGGAGAGCAGAAGTGCTTGTCTTGCAGATGTGCGGGGCACACGTAGAAGAAGTCCTGGAGGGTGAATTAGCCACTTGTGTGCATGATAATCGGCAGTTTGACTGGGAAAGCAATAATTGAACTCTTCTCTTCACTGAGGATGTCTATTTCGTCGTACCTTGTTGTCTGGCGTGATCATCACGCTGGTTGACGGTTTGTAGCAGATCAGGCACGCTTTTGCGGAGGTATCCGCCACGCGACGCACATGGTAGACGTTGGTCAATGACATGGTTCAAGGATGGATGACTTCTCCGTGCTATTCGAATACTTTTCGAATCCTTGTTGCTGCTCTGGTACGTGTTCGACGACAAGTGTCGATGGCTTGTTGAGGCGTTGAATAAGAAATGCCCGTCATGTGACCCATACTTAAAGCAACACCTTATGTCTATAGAAAAGGGAACTTTATACAAACTTAAATTGGGATGAAATGAAGGTGATCTTATTAATGGAAGCAAAGGTATTGATTCACTAAGCTGAATTGTATTCCAGCCCACACCCACGCCCATCTTGACAGAACGCCAAACCATGCATCTGTCCACTAAGACCAAATCGGACAATACTACCGAGAACAATACATGAGGTTTTGTATGAGCAATCATGAAATATAGTGAGGATTAGAAAAGAAATTGAACAAAAACGACGAGCATTGATCATAATGAATCCTCCGCGTCAATGGCAGCTGCCTCCTTTGCCAGCCTCAAATCCTTGCCCACGACACCAATATCCCGCAAGTAAGGCTTGAAGGCTGCCAATAGGTCCTTGAGACTACCCCGGAGTGTGTCAAGCACGAGTTCCACCTCAGGGACCTGGCGAGCTTTAGCCTGCGCTGTAGGGTCGCTAGAGGAGGGGAAGTCGACATCTGTCCAGTGAGCATCCAAACCACCCTGGTGGACAAATGTGTCCAGAGTAAGAATGGTGTCAGTAAGAAGACGCACTGTAGGGGGTACGTCGGCCTGGACTTTGCCATACGGGTCTTCAGCCAAACTGGCAGTCAGGAGTCTAGTCAACGACTCCACCGCATCAACAATAAGAGACAAGGAAGACACGGGGGCACCGAGAACAATCGAGGATAGACGTTTGGCGTAGGTCTGTTGGAACGGTCTACCAATAGGCGAACGAAGAAATCGTGCAAGTAACTGGTTGATGTCCTCGGGTTTGTGCGTAGTAGAGGGACCGCCGGTCAAAAGCTTTATCTTCTCGGAAGAACCGAGCAGTCTCTGTTTCCGCTCGGGGCTAAGCACGGCCGAGGATGCTTGGCTAAAAGCATCACGCATTCGAGCCCGTGCAGTTGGAGTCCAGTCTTCGGATTGACCAAAAGACTTCGCAGTTGAACTGAACGCATCGCCGAATTTGTCCTGTCGGGAAGTAGCCTTTGGGACAGCAGAAAAGACGTTCTGGTCTTTTAGGGGCTCGGTGAGACGCGGGAGAGTTTGAAGAACAGGATCGGATGGCTTGGCCTGCGGTGATGCTTGGGCAACGGGAGCGGGCTTCGTAATTTGCTCGATTCGGACGGTAACACCCTTGATGACATCAGTGAGGCTAACCAGAACCTGACTCCAAGTCGAACCCTTCTCGCGATCAAGTTCACTGAAAATCGCCTTGCGCCGCTCGGGGTTGCGCTGGCTGATCAGCCCGAGCTCCCAGAGTGCGAAAGTCTTCACAATCTCCTTCTTTGCGTTGAGACCATTGAGGAGGCTGCCATTGGGATCTTTGGCGTCTGTCGTGAGTGGCTGGCCCCGCTTCAGAGGCTCCTTGCCGATGAACACCGAGAAAGAGAGGTTGGTGGTTTCCCAGAGGATAACAAGCAGCGCTCCCGTGTACAGTGTCCGGAGGAACGTGGTGATGGGATCTGGAGGAAAGAAGCCCCTGACATCGGCTGCAGACCTTGGGAAGTCCGCATAAGTCCGGGCGAAGGCGAAAAACCAGCTCCACACAGTCTGGCGGAAAAAGATGAGGTACACAGGAACAGTAGCACCTGCGACGAACGTACTCCTGATACCCCCATCTTGCAATGTTTGTAACCAAGTTTTCTGGAGATACTTCGATGTTTGCTGTACCGGGTGAATGCGCTGGTCGTTTGTTCTGGAACTTCGGTCCGCGATGGGCAAAGGGACACGGTCGTAGTCGGAGTACAGGTGCCACGCTGCCTGTACACATGCGAGGGTGAAGTGGTAGAAATGAAGATAAATTGGTCTTTCGTTCATAGTCACTCGCTCGGGTACCCTGAATTTCATTAGTCCAATGTTTGTATAATCCGAAGACATTTAACATACCTCCCCCGTTTCACGAGCTGGAGATCAGTATCCGCCGAAGACGACCAGATATAAATCTGGGTGAACCACCAGGCCGAGAAGATGTACCACGCAAAAGTTTGCGCGATTTGAAATAAAGTGAATTGTTTAAAAATGCCAAATGACGAGGCAGACGTTCTCGAACCGATGTGCATTTGACTGACGCGAAGGACGAAGACGGTGAGGCAGGAAAGGAAGAGCATTGCGGTTCGAATACCGCAAGTGCCAATGGGAAACCATAGCCAAAGCCCTGTTTCAGTCAAAATTGTTAGCAATGTGCGCTCTCGGACCAACGAACCAAGCGTCGAAGCTCGACTCCATAAGATTGGAAAATACTTACAGGATGATTTATTCCCAATGAGAATCGCAGCAAGATAGCAGACTAGTAGTGAAAGTGCAGACGCATGGACAAATCTTCGGTGCAAGGCCGAAGTCAAGATTCGCCTGTACGGCCGAGTTCGAACAGCGGCCATGATGCAAGCTTGGGGTGGGATGCGCTCGTGAAAGAGAATGTGAGAAAGATTAGAGCATGGTCAGAGCGACGATCCTAGGGAAAAGCCTTGGAGCTGCAGGGTGGAATTGGCAAGCCGGTGACAATGTTGACGGAGAGTCACAGCTGACAGCGGGTTGGGTTGAGCTGGTCGGAGTTAGTTAACGGCCAAGTCAATGATGGAATATTTTGAGGCATCAAAACACACCAGCCACAATAGTCATGTGATATGTGGCACAGCGAACATTGAGCCACATAGTACTAACCTCATTTAGACTAGTGGTTACGGTACGTCATGTGAGGGCGGTCTGCCGGCGAAGGCAGCAGGGACCTGCAGATAGCTGCTTTCTTATCCAGTCTCTTTCTACCTTCATTTTTGACACTCATTACTTTAACGTATCGCTGTCATGTCTTTTGATCGCCTCAACTCGCTGGAGGCGCAGCCTACCACTATGCGCAGGGATGAAGACCCGCAATACCGCGACGATCCGGGCTTCGATCATCTGGCTGAGACGCTCTCTGATCAGTTGTTTACATTGACTTCCAATATTTCTCGCCTGTCTAACCAGATCGCCCTTCTTGGAACTAAGCGAGACACCGAACGTGTGCGCGAGCGAGTTCATAATCTCTTGGAGGAGACCCGTGCGGGGTTCAAGGATGTAGGAGAAGGGATCAAGAAGGTCCAGACCTGGGAAGATGTGAATGTAAGGCTCAACTCATTCCCCTGCCTTTTGGAACGTCTGATACTGACTTCAACTGTACCAGCCCTCCCAGAAGTGGACACAACAGAAGCTATCGTCTGAATTTAAGGCCACCTTGGATGAATTTCAAACAGTACAACGCCGGGCGCTTGAGAAACAGCGTGCCTCGGCAGCTGCTGCCCGTACGGCAGTCGAAGATGGCGAGCAACCATTAATCGACACCGATGTGCAATTACAAGAACAGCAATTGGAGGAACAGCATCGTATGGCCAACCAGGGCGAGGTGGACTTCCAGGAGTCCCTTATTATCGAGCGTGAGACCGAGATCCGGAACATTGAACAGAGTGTGGGAGAACTGAACGAGCTGTTCCGAGATGTTGCTCACATCGTCACCGAACAAGGCGGTCAGTTGGATATCATCAGTGAGAATGTCCAGAACGTCACTCAAGACACCCGGGGTGCCAACGTCGAGCTGCGCAGTGCCAGCAGATATCAGAAGAATGCACGCAACAGGGCATGCTGTCTGTTCGTGATTCTTGCTGTCATCCTTCTTATCATCGTCCTTGCGATCGTCCTTGGATAATTGTGTGCTTATGGTTCCCTTCGTTCTTGCTTTCCGTTCAACCATGCGATCCTTGTCTTTCTACCCTGTCACGTATGCGCACGATATCCCTCTTGCATAATCCTCTTCGACTTTTGTTCTGTTGGTTCAGCAACTCGCCCTTCTAGCTTACGAATTGATTTGCAACATTCAATGTAAATGGAATGGAGAACATTTAATTCATTGTGACTTTCAATGCTCTAGCACAATATCGTACAAAAGTCAATGTTGTTATACATGCATAATACACCCAATCGGGTCCCAAATCCTGCCTATGCTCCGTTATCGCCTTTCTATGTGCAGCGGGAGACTATCCCATCTCTCCAGTGGCATGTTCATAGGCCAGTGAAGCGGTTGAACCTCAACCTCCAGCCCTCATAAGTGTTCAACTTGGGCCGAACATCGAGGAAGAAACTGAGCTTCCCGGGACCGGCATTGGCTGCCAGACCCGAGTTTCCATTGTTTCCTACTGGCTTCCCTTGGTAGAAATCGATCACGTACTCGATCTTCTCGCCTCCGCACCGTTCAACAACCCAGTCATGTCGATCAAATGGATGCTGGTAGCCAAGCCATCCATTGATCCGCGCACGCGGACTCAGATATTGGGGATCGACACCAAGTCCGCGGAAGGAATATAATTTGGGTCCTCCGCACTTCGTGCTCCCGGGGTCTGTTGAGGGGCCCTTTTTCTCCCATTCGAGGATCTGCTTCCATGCGCGTTCATTGACGGCATTGTGAATTGGAATGATCGAGGCCACGGAGGTCGCAAGTTCCGAGGCGGTTTCGGTAGATCCCGGGGTGTTGCCCTTGCGCATCAAGGCTTCGAAAAACTGTTTTTCGGATGGGTAGATCCAGTTGCCGGTAGCCTCGTCACGGCCAGTCTCGGATTCGGCATTGGATGGGCTGCCGTGCGAGGCAGCATATGGTGATGGTGTTCCCTTCTTGGCCTCGGGGCAGGCGCTGTCGGCGCTGAAATCACCAGCTCGGGGTATCGTGCTCACTTCGCGATCTGTTGATAGTGGTCGTTGCGATTTGGCGCGTTTTTGTCCCTGATCGGCAGGTGCCTCGGAGTCCGAAGGATGCGGTGATTTGCCATTTTGCTGTAGCCAGATCTCACGAGTCTTGTGGTCGACTGGACATGTTGCAGGTGGCTCTGCAGCAGGAGTACTTGCCCCGGCTCCCATCGTTGAATGATTGGAGGTTATTGAGTGGATGATTTATCGGCGCATCAGTAGGAACTAGAGATAATTTTGCCCTCACCGCCCCAAACAATATTAACGTTGATCCCCCATTTCTCCCCTTTTGTTCATTTGGAATTTCCTCAATTTCTCTTTTTCTGTCAAAAGTAACAATGGCATCTTCTAACGAGTCCGTCTACCGGGCTACCACCACCGCTCCTGTCAACATTGCCGTCATCAAGTGAGTAGATCTCGATTGCCCCTCATTCCCATGTCTCTAACAAAAGCATCAAGATACTGGGGCAAGCGTGATACTACTCTTAACCTTCCTACCAACTCTTCTCTCTCGGTCACCCTCTCTCAGCGCTCTCTCCGTACCCTGACCACCGCATCCTGCTCTGGTAACTTCCCAGCTGAGGACACCCTGAACTTGAACGGCAAGCCGCAGGATATCCGGTCCTCCAAGCGCACCCTCGCTTGTATCTCCAGTCTTCGTGCCCATCGCAAAGCTCTCGAGGATGCCGACTCCTCTCTCCCCGCTCTCTCCAAATTCCCTCTCCGGATTGTCTCCGAGAACAACTTTCCCACTGCCGCCGGACTGGCCAGCTCCGCTGCTGGATTCGCAGCTCTAGTCCGCGCCGTTGCCGACCTTTACCAATTGCCTCAATCCCCGAAGGAACTCAGCCGCATTGCTCGCCAGGGCTCAGGCTCTGCCTGTCGCTCCCTGATGGGTGGCTACGTCGCATGGCGCACCGGCGAGCTTGCTGATGGCAGTGACAGCTTGGCTGAGGAAGTCGCCCCCGCATCTCACTGGCCTGAGATGTGTGCCCTGGTCCTCGTTGTCAGTGCCGAGAAGAAGGATGTTCCTAGCACAGAGGGCATGCAGACTACCGTCGGGACCTCCGCTCTCTTCGCCGAGCGAGCACAAAATGTTGTTCCCCAACGCATGGCCGCCATTGAGACTGCGATCCGTGACCGCAACTTCCCTGACTTTGCCGAGATCACTATGCGTGACTCCAACACCTTCCACGCCACTTGCCTCGACTCGTGGCCCCCTATTTTCTACATGAACGACGTCTCCCGTGCCGCTGTCCGCCTTGTGCACGATATTAACCGTGTTGTTGGCCGCACAGTTGCTGCCTACACCTTCGATGCCGGTCCAAATGCCGTCATCTACTATGAGGATAAGGACTCCGAGCTCGTTGCCGGAACCGTGAAGGCCATTCTCGGCCCCAACACTGAGGGCTGGGACGGTGCTTTCTACGATAGAATTGCGAACGTTACTGCTCCCGGAGTTTCCCTGGACCGGATTGACTCCCGCGCCGTCGAAGTTCTGAAGGACGGTGTGAGCCGTGTCATTTTGACCGCCGTTGGAGAGGGTCCCGTCAAGGTTGATACCCACCTTGTCAGTGAGACTGGTGAGATCATCAGCTCCTAGGCAATGCGGCGGTGAATAGTGGGCCATCTTGGCCATCTTTTGGAAGGTTTGATTACCTGAAAGATACCCTACCGTTCCTCTACAACTTTGCATGGGAGCAATTCAACTCTGCCATACGAACTTGATGCAGATATTATCTTCACTGTATCTTTTTCATGATTCGGCACGATCTAGAACATAATAATAAACAACGAGCGTCAATTTGACCATATCATATACACTGACTCTCATAGACGCAAGTACGGACACGCAAATTGATAATCCATCACAACATCTTGGAGCATCCGTAGACATTCACTCTGCAAATCCTTCCACCGGTCGAGTATTGCAATCAGCATGAGCCACAATCATCACAGCGCCGGAATCCATATCCAAGGGAATCACAAGCCTGAATAAATCTAGCCTGCTGACCCCCAGCATAAACACAGCAACCAGCAAAGCCGCATCCGTTTTCACCGTAAGAAGCACCAGTATGATCACATGCGTAACGCGAGTGTTCAGAAATGCCAGCACAAGAACATTTAATAGTTGGTGTCACACCCTGAGCGATCGAGAGAGCTCTCACGTCCAGGAGGATAGCAAGAATGCTCCAGAGATAGAGGTTCATCATCTATGTAGGCGTTGTTAGCATCAATCTGCTAGTATATATCCTGGAAAGTAACTTAACGGCTTGGTGGTACAACTGCGCCTGTCTGGTATTTCGTCTTGGCAGTTCAATAAATGCGGGAAATGGTCCTTTTTTATATATTCTCGATTTTCAGTTGTTCGTATATTTCTTGTAGTTGACCTGGCTACTGGATACACGGCAGACCTATGTAACGTCTTCGTGTCATTGTGGGAAAGAGTCGTGTCTGTTGTACCACTTTCTCAAGTTAGCTGCGCTATAAGTTACTGCTTGTTTTAGCTAGGATATACCCCGTAATTCGTAATGAATAGATATGGCCTTGCTACTATGTACTTCGTCATTGGTTCTTCGTGTGACATAGACCTGATGCTACCTTGGGGACATTCTCTCTGCGAATTTGAGTTACTGACAGGACGCAACATTATATGTTCCATATCTTGGGCATGTATATTATCCTCGACTCACATTGGGAAACTGATTTACTACTCGAGGTCTCAACATGTATTTGACATATGGCCGGGATTTGATTATCATAAGCACAATATCTTCAAGGATAGAAAGCAACCCAGAAGACATGGACATGTGAAGTTTCCCCCCGGCCCATTGTATCTCATGAGTAGCACGCTGTACATAGTCAATGATGATAATCAGCCTCTCTTTTCCATTCTAGAAACTTTTATTAGGACTAGACATGTTTTATATCCACTAACTTATAACGTTAGTTCCCACAAGGGTAAAGGAAGATCCCTCTATAGACACTCAAAACACGAAAACTCACAATCTCGACCTACATACTAATTCCCGCTTATTGATTATAATTCCAGGCCCGCAGTCTTTATTCCACACTTAGTTTCGGATTCACGGATTATAAAGACTAGTATGTGTTGATTCCCGTAGACTGAGAGATGCCATCTGGTTCATTGCTGGCAGCACTTCATTATAGTGGTGTACACCCAGTGAGTCATGGTCAAGACTGGACCTCCCCGACAAAGAGGGACATGGGGGATAATATCGATGACAGGCTGCAACGAAGGATCTTTCATTCCTGTGCTGATAACCAGGTATGACTCGTGACACACAAGGCATGGACATCCCTTGGACATAGACTACCACCTCCTTGAAGGCTATCGGGGATTGGTAGAGCACATATTTTGATTGATTCCGAGTGACGTTCTGCTTATATGCCAGGTCGACTGAAATAGAGACGTTCCATGGGAACAGGTATCTTTCAAACGGAGCCCTGTGCCCAAGGCTGAATATTCCTCGATCTTGCTTGCACTAGAGTATCCCAGCAGGGAGTAGAATCTCGGTTGTTCCTGGGCGTATCCTCCGAGTTTATATGACGATGTTATATGGCTGAGAATCGAAGCAACTTTTTATTTTAATGATGGAAATATGTTAATGCTATGAGCTATCCTCACTGACTGCTTCAAGCCAGCAAAGAAGATTTCTTCATTTCCTTGACGATAGGGATCTCCTTCACGCGAGCGGAACCACCACCCTGAACAATAGCAATGCTTTCCGCTAAGACTCCGGAGCCTCTACCACCATAAATAGGCGGGATATGAGGCTCATCGGGATTCTCCTCATCATCCTCGTCCTCATTCTTCTTCTTCTCGACGACAGGGACCTCAAAGACCTCGTCTCGGCACTCTGCACACATAGTCGAGACTTCCAGCAGCGCCTTCTCAACTGCAGCAGCGCGCTCGCGCATGCCACGACGCAAAAGCGCATCGACAAGGGTTTCGGTCTCTGCCACGCTCGAGTTGACCCGTTCCATGAGTCGTCGGATACTGTTGACCAGGTACTCCTCCTCGTAAACGGTGCCTTTCTTACCACGGGCCCGCTTGCGCTCTTCACGTCTGCGGGTTTTCGAGGTGTATCGGGTCATGCCAGTCTTGCCAGTCTTCCCAGTGTTGCCTGTGTATCGAGTGAACATGGAGCGGCCAGCCAGCGTCGATGCATCTGTTGGGGCCAGGGAGACGTTGTCAGGAATGTCCACGCCTGCGTCACCTCCTGTGGGATCACCACCGAAGAAGGCGAGCGGGTCGGCAGCACGCAGCTGGCGGAGTTCGCGGAGGCGCGGGACTTGGGCGTTGAGCTGGGATCTGCAGTCGGCTAGCAGGTCGGTCATGTTGCCCATTGCTTCGGCCAGACCGGAGTCGACAATCTCGGCGACTAGATTCTGCTTGCCGTTCAGTGTGAGAAGACGAGCGGCATCGGCGAATTTTGAGCCCCGGCAGAGGAGCCGTGCGGCTGTGACAAAGTCGCGCAGGTGCTCGGCATAGATTGTGGCTGCTGAAACGTAGTCTTTGTTCTCATCGATCAGGGTTGTAGCAAGGTTGTTGATGTGGGCGGTCAGGTCCTCCTCGGAAAGAGATGCCATCATGGCACAGTACAATGACTCGCGCCACTTGTGGGCCAGGTTGTAGCACTTGTAGGCACTCTCGTAAAGTTCAAGAGATTCGTACGCTGTATTGAGATTAGTATCGTGCCTTGTTCTGGATACCAGAAGGTCACTTACCAATTGCCGCGTCTTTGTATTGGTTCTGATCTTGGAGATGGTCGGCATAGAGCTCGGTGATCTCACGTAGTTGCTCTGCTTGATACTTGTAGAGCTCGAGGGCATCTTTGTACAAGACATGTCTGACGACATATGCGCGAATTTCATCATGGGCGTTCAAAGCGTACAGATGCTTCAGAGCCTTTCCAAAGCGGCTGAGATGGTTGTCGATCTCGAATTGACGCCGAGTCTCTGGGAGCTGCTGCAATTTACGGAGGAAAGGAAGATACTCGCGAGGATCCATCTGTGCCTGCTGAGCAACCAAGAGAGTAAGCTCAAGGTCGTATATTCCCAGGGCGTGAGAGTAAAGTCGGTGTGCATCTGTCAAGAAACACATGTGCTCAATGGCATCTTCAGCCTGCTTGGGGTTTCGTTTTCTCAGACCCGCAGCAAGTCCTAGACCAGCCTCTAGGTCGGGTGGGGATTTGCAAACATGGGCTGTAATGACATTCTGCAAGTTGGTATCGACGCGCGCTTGGAGAGTCGCCAGGAACGCGTCACAGATTTGGTTGATTTTGCTTTCCTTTCTGGCCGACTTTGGCAATGAAGGAGCTGGTGGAGCATCCGGTTGAGCGACAGCCGCAGACTCATTCTTGGAAATCTTCAGCGTGTCTTTATAGAGTGTCTGTGAAACATCCTCTTCCCTGCGTAAAAGTTAGCAAAAAGGGTTCGGTCAAACTCATCTGGGTGTCCACATACTGCAAGCGTGACAAGAAGTCATCGATATAATCGATCTTCTTGACTTGATCAATGAATAGTGGGATATTTGCCAAAAACTGCGCAGGGGCATAGTCGTGAAGGATGTTTAGATCGACCATCTGGCTTCGGCATGCCATAAATGCAGAGCGGTACTTCTTCTGGTCAATAAACGTACGGATTCCGGCCAGCACCAAGGCACGGGGGAAAATGGTTTCAATATTTCCACGGGGAGCTTGGAGCACAACAGCAAAGATCGACGGCATCACGGAAACCAAACGAGAGCCGCGTTCGATACTTCTGCACCGCTCATCGATTTCGGGTGTGTCCTCTGGAATTTCCATATCTTCAAGTCTATGTTAGATTTTACAATGGAAATAGTCAAGACTACCGGATCTTACCTTCCACGTGGTTAAGATGAACAAACTTCAACAGATGCTGAGACGTGGTGAACAATAGATGAGACGGTGTCACGAGGAAAGATGTGCAGTTCCTCGCCAGGACTCGCTTGTTCGCATACAGGCCACCAGTTCTTGACATTGTGATCAAGATGCGCTAGGTGAGTTAGCAATCTTGTCCAAATCCCAAGAAACAAAATCTTACCTCGCTCTCGGAGATGGAGACAGCACGAGCCCAGTGACTATCAACATTGGGACTGTCGCCCCAAGGGACAATATCGGGGTTATTTAATGACATTTCGATGCTCGAGTAGCTAACAGGACGGCCAGGTTGAGACGCATGTGAAAACCATAGAGCTTCATGTCCAATTCCCGCGAAGATCGATGACAGCTGCTCGGAGTCTGCAGCCTCATACACAGCTTCGGTCGTCTGGCGTTCCAATATAGTCCGTTCAATGCGGCTAGCATTTGGTCCATTACTTCGGAGCACAAAGACCTCAGTATCATTCAAAAAGGCAATCTGTCTGGGTCGACTGGAAGGATCATCCGGTAGAGGATAGCTCGACTCAAGAATCGGAACAGGAACGGGCCGACTTTTCAGGGACCAATTGTAGATTGCGAAACTGTTGTTCATTAGAACAGCAATGCGAGTGCCCGACTTGCTGAATGCAACATCAATAGCGTTAGAATCCAAAGCTAGCTCATTATGCGCCATTGGGGGTGGAACACCAGCCAATCGCAATGGGGTCAGTTTAAGATTCTGCCCGTCAAGGACGGCAACAGCGCCCACATCATCCGGAATAGAGGTAGATCCGTGGCTGATATCAAACACATAGTCCGCATCAAGGATACAGTCTGAAGAACCAGCAACGAATCGAAGTGCCTTCTCTTGGTGCCATTCGAAAGAGAATGGAAGCGAGGAGGAGGGATCAACAACTATCGGGATCTCTTGCTTCAAATACCAATGGTAATTCCCCGTTGTCCAAAATTGGATGCGATCTTGGAACTTGACAGCAAGAACAGTCGAATCGACGTTCCATGCAAGATGGATACGAGAAGTCCATGGCTTTGTCTCCTTATCGGATATACGGAGAGAAAACTCGCCGTGGCGCAGTCCATTTCGTTCGAAAAATACCACATCTATACGGTCATCAAGTCGTTGGATTCCAGCAATAAGACTACCGGACGGCCGCCAGCTGAGAGCGCCCTCGAGTCCATCAACCGGCTCGCTCACACTGTCCAGAGTACCCTCTCTTGAGTACACTCTGATGGCGCGGCGAGTACCAGCCTCGATGCTGTTCACGGCGACATATGCTCCGTCCCCTCGCCAGGTGATCGTAGTGCGACCATCGTCGTGGCTGCTCAGGATTCCTTGGTCGATCTTCTCGGGCACAGTCGGGTCTCGAAGAGCCTTAGCTCTCTTTCCTTGGAACTGAGTCTCTTTCTTACCCCATCCTACTGACACATGCTGCGAAGCGTGCATGTCACTGGAGGTAAATGTAATATCGGCCACATTCTCAAACTCTCTGGTCATATAGAGGAAAGTATGAGCTCTGGTGGTGAGAGCTAGGAGCTCTTCATCCGGAGACCATGCAGCAGCTGTGATGCCCACGTCGACTGAACCGACGATTTCAATCTTATCTTCACCAGGAAGAGGTTCTTCGCGGACAACCACGATATCACCTCCCTCCAGCACCAGACAAGCAGTCATATTGTCCGCAAAGTAATGCAGAGAGAGTACACGGTCACATGTCAGGTCTGGTAGAGGGCATGGGGCATCCCAAGACGCAATGCATTCGAATGCCTCCGGGCTGAGAGGGTCTGTTGAGGTGATCTCGGGGCGCTTTCGCCTCACTTCGATGATTGCATTGTTCTCAGCGGGGCCAAAGGTGCACACCACTGAGTCGGATGAAGTATCCCATGCAGTTGCTGTTAGAGGAAGCTCGCCCTCAAGCTGTGTCTCGGCGAGACGGACGTTTCTCAAGTTGCGCATTTTCCAGGTACGGGTAACTTTTTCTATGCTTCTTTTGTTACCCCGCCATGAAGCAACCAGGGCGGTAAACGTATGGAATTTCGCGTAAAGGCGAGCGAAGGCAGGTTTCAGCGACTAGCGACGCTCTCTCTCTTGAAAAGAAGCGTGGAGAGTGGGTGTGTTGAGAACTGATATCAAACTCGCGCCGACCCAGAGATTTTTTGATTTTCCACAGCGGCTCAGCCAATGACTTCATCCACATTTCAACGTCTTTAGAGCTACGAGTTCTAGGGTCTACACAGTTACAATGGAGGCATTGAGGCGCAGAAATGTCAATAGTAATCTCTAGCTTTGTACATGATATCCAATTGCTTCCCCAATCCGAGCTTTCGGCCTCCAGACTGTCGCAAGTACAAGACCAATCTATTTGGTCTTGTAGGTTTGCCAAACTAAAGAAAAGGACTATTAGCGCATGGTCGAAGCAAGATAGTGTCACGGTGAAGTAGAACTCACCAGCAATGGCGAAGGGAGAACCGAATCCGGTAACTAGATGATGCCCGAGTTAGTCATGCCTCCGCGCACAAGTCCGGGGTGAACAAACCCATGAAGGCCCAGTATCTCCAGAAGAAGCGCTTGGTCATAGGGTTGAAAGGGATGTTGGTGCGAGGACCCTCGGCGTAGTGGTAGGGGCTACCGAGCTGGGTGCGAGTGGTGGAGAAGCCACGACGGGCAGCGAAGGAGGTGGCCATCTTGGCCCGGATAGCGGAGGAGAACATCTGTCGTAGAAAACAGCTGTGAGCTGTTGCAACAAGCCCAATTGCGCCAGGAGGTGCCTACCTTGAGAGACAGAGAGGAGAGAGTGGACGATCGGAAAGGGACGGACGAAGCCAAACGAGATCATCCCATTCCGCACCTTGCGATGTTCAACGTCACGTGACAGACACACTAGCGCCGTTTGGGCCAGTCCCACCGCTTTCCTCATCTGGAAACTTTCAATTTTCTCTACCCAGAAAAAGTGCAGCGCGATCACATCGCTCATTCTACTCCCGTGGTTGATCTTTCAATTTCGCTGGAGATGGATGAGCTCTTCGATGTCTTTGAGGACAAGCCTCAGGCGGTAACCCCGTCCGAGGCTGTCCCCAAACGTCCCAAGAAGGACAAGAGCAAAAAACGCCAGGTGAATGGCGACGTCAAGAAACCCGAAGACGCCCAGACTGAACCGGACGAGGATACCGTTTTGCCAGATGCAGCTGTTACAGAATCCAAGCCAGCAGACGCCGAAGCACCCGCCCGCGAGAACGATCAACCCGATGCGAAACGACCCAAACTTGACGATGAACCCGCACCAGTACTTGCGGATTCCTTTGAGACTGAAGGACAAGTCGAGCTTGCCAAATTGAAAGGCGAAGAGGAGTCAATGACAGTATCCCACCAAGTGCGCCATCAGGTCGCATTTCCTCCGAACTACCCGTACGTGCCTCTTTCTGAGCACAAGCCGCCAGCAGAGCCAGCAAAGAAATACTCCTTCACACTCGATCCTTTCCAACAACTTGCAGTCGCCTCGATCCAGCGCGAGGAAAGTGTACTGGTTTCGGCCCATACTAGTGCAGGAAAGACTGTAGTGGCCGAGTATGCCATTGCGCAAAGTTTGAAGCAGAACCAGAGAGTTATCTACACCAGTCCGATCAAGGCACTGTCTAACCAGAAATACCGTGAATTTGCAGCCGAGTTTGGTGATTGTGGTTTGATGACTGGTGATGTGACAATCAACCCTACCGCTACCTGCCTCGTCATGACCACTGAGATTCTGCGCTCCATGTTGTATCGCGGCTCTGAGATTATGCGTGAAGTCCAGTGGGTCATATTCGATGAAATTCACTACCTGCGAGACCCAACCCGCGGTGTTGTCTGGGAAGAAACACTCATCCTCCTGCCCGACAAGGTCCGCTACGTTTTCCTGTCTGCCACTATTCCCAATGCCATGCAATTCGCCGAGTGGATCGTGAAGATGCACAACCAACCCTGCCACGTCGTTTACACCAACTACCGCCCGACACCGCTTCAGAACTATTTCTTCCCCGCTGGTGGAGACGGAATGCACCTTATTGTCGACGAGAAGGGAGTATTCCGTGAAGAGAACTTCCAGAAAGCGATGAGCTCAATTTCCGACAAGAAGGGCGATGACCCCGCTGACGCGTTGGCCAAGCGCAAAGGAAAGGGTAAGGATAAGTCTTTGAACAAGGGTGGAAACAAGGGCCCATCGGATATCTTCAAAATCGTGAAGATGATCATGCTTAAATCTTTGAATCCTGTCATTGTTTTCAGTTTCAGCAAGCGTGAGTGCGAAGAAGGCGCTTTGCAGATGTCCAAAATGGCATTCAACGATGACTCCGAGAAGGAAATGGTGACCAAGGTCTTTGAAAGCGCCATCGAAATGCTGTCTGAAGAGGACCGAAAATTGCCCCAAATCACGAATCTTCTTCCCCTTTTGCGCAGAGGTATCGGTGTTCACCACTCCGGTTTGCTACCGATTCTCAAGGAAACCATCGAGATTCTGTTCCAGGAGGGTCTCATCAAAGCCCTGTTCGCAACTGAAACTTTCTCCATTGGTCTCAACATGCCTGCAAAGACTGTGGTATTCACGAGCGTTCGCAAGTTCGATGGTACCAGCCAACGCTGGGTTACCCCATCCGAGTTTATTCAAATGTCTGGACGTGCCGGTCGAAGAGGTCTCGATGACCGCGGTATCGTGATCATGATGGTTGGCGAGGAGATGGACCCTGCCGTAGCGAAAGAGATTGTGCGCGGCGAACAGGACCGACTCAACTCCGCATTCCACCTTGGCTACAATATGATTCTCAATCTGTTGCGTGTGGAAGGCATCTCGCCCGATTACATGCTGGAGAGTTGCTTCAAGCAGTTCCAAACCAGTGGAAACGTTTCAGGCTTGGAAAAAGAGCTTCAGGACTTGCAGGAAAAGCGAGCCAATATGGTCATTTCAGACGAGGGCACCATTCGCGAATACTACGACCTACGGAAGCACCTGGCCACACTCGCAGAGGATGTCCAGGAGGTTGTCAGCCACCCGAACTATTCTCTACCCTTCATTACACCCGGCCGAATTGTTCGTGTCAAGCACCAAGGTCAAGATTTCGGATGGGGTGTCGTGGTCAAACAAACGCAACGCAAACAAGCAAAAAATGAGAAGGAGCCATTGACCCCACATCAATCGTACGTTGTCGACGTACTTCTGAGGCTTGCCGAGGGGCCATCCATCGGCACCAAGTCTCACCAAGACATTCCGTCCGGTATCCAACCCGCAAAGGAGGGAGAAAAGGAGCGTATGGAAGTTGTGCCCGTTGTACTGAGCTGCATTCATGACATCTCCCATATTCGGATCTTCCTCCCCAAGGACATTCAGGCGGCTGACGCGCGCATCGGAGTGAAGAAGTCTGTGAACGAAATACAGAGACGTTTCCCAGATGGTCTTCCGCTGCTTGATCCTATCGAAAATATGCACATCAAGGATGAATCCTTTAAGAAGCTGCTGCGGGTAAGAGATGACCGCGTTTCACATATACGGTTCACGCTGCTAACAAGGTACAGAAAATCGAGGTTCTTGATTCTCGTCTTCTGAGCAATCCTCTCCACAACTCACCTCGGTTGCCCGAACTTTATGAGCAATATGCTGAGAAGGTAGATTTGGGAACACAAATCAAGGACGCCAAGAAGAGGATCTCCGACGCCATGGAGATTATGCAACTTGAGGAATTGAAGAACCGCAAGCGTGTGCTTCGTCGAGTCGGATTTATCAATGAGGATGAAGTCGTTCAGCTGAAGGGTCGGGTCGCTTGTGAGATTAGCTCTGGCGACGAGCTGGTGCTGAGCGAGCTGCTGTTCAACGGCTTCTTCAATAACCTTACTCCCGAGCAGATTGCGGCCATCATGAGTTGTTTCGTGTTTGAGGAGAAGGTCAAGGAAGTTCCTCCATTGTCCAAGGATGAGCTGGCGAAGCCCCTCCGAGAGATCCAAGCACAGGCTCGCACAATCGCCAAGGTTTCGCAGGAGTCCAAGATGGCCTTGAACGAGGATGAATATGTTTCAAGCTTCAAGTGGGAGCTGATGGAGGTGGTCTACGATTGGTCCCAGGGCAAATCCTTTGCCGATATCTGGTAAGCATTTCCCGTCCTATCTAACTATCCATGTACTAACTCATTACCAGCAAAATGACCGATGTCTACGAGGGTAGCTTGATCCGTGTCTTCCGCCGGCTGGAAGAATGTTTGCGGCAGATGGCACAGGCTGCCAAGGTGATGGGCAGCGAGGACCTGGAGAGCAAGTTCGAGGAGGCCCTGACGAAAATCCGTCGCGATATTGTTGCTGCCCAATCTCTGTACTTGTAGATACGATATCCCCTTGTTCAATTTTTTAGTATGAAACAAAATGCATACTTATGTCACATCAAGCATACGACGTAGTAGATGTAGATGATGCGGGTACTGTAGCTTTGCCCGAAAACAGTGGAGTTCGCCCATTTGGCTTGTTCATGTCAAAGAAAGAAAACGAAGAATCTTCTGAAACACATTAATATTGATATCGACTTATTATAGTAATTACTAACAGTGAGGCAAATCTCCTTGAAAGCTGCACAGAGGGATTGCGTTGCCGCCCGCAACGCCTACTTTTTCTCCACCGCTTCTCTTCTCGACCTTTCTCTCCCCACCTCATCTTTGGGCATCCTTTTTGACTGCCCTTGTCTTTCTTTTCTTCGGTCTTCGTTGAGACCACTACATCTTCTTTGCCATTAGGCTGTCATCATGAACAGTCTGGTGGCCACACCTCCTGTCCCTCCTCACTTCTACGAGAACCCCCGATTCTCTCCCTCCCGTATGAGTAAGACATCCCTTTCCAACATTTTGTTCTCTGGCCCGAAGAGAGAGGCTAACAAAGATGCCAGTGTCTACACCATCGTCGTCGTATTCGAACCGTAAACGGAAAGCCGACGACGATGGCAACGATCATGATGGACGCATGTCTGCCTCGCCCACCAACTCTCCCGCCTTCACTCCTCGCCAACTTCCTCACAACTACCGTAACATCAAACGTTCCCGACCGAATGTTTCAGGCCGCCCTTTGTCTCTCCCCCGTCTGCTAGAGACCCTCGACACAGATGCTTTGAGGACGGTGGTACGAACCATGTGCGAGCGTCACCCTCAGCTCGCCGACGAGGTTGTGCACACTTCTCCCCGTCCGAATGTTTCCTCAACCCTCCAAGTGCTTCGAAACTACCAGGCTGCCCTTCAGTCATCCTTCCCGCTGGGTGGTAACACTGAGTCGGACTATGCCTACAACCGAGTCCGACAGCCACTCACGAACCTCCTTGACGCCCTGAGTGATTTCACTCCCAACTTCCTCCCACCGAACGAATCCCAAGCATCCACGTCTCTGAGCTACCTAGAGGGGGCAACCGACATCATCCACGCCCTGCCTCGCTGGAGCTCGCCACAAAACAACATCGAACGAGACTCCGCTTATGACGAGATCTGCAAGGCATGGATTCTGGTAATTAGGGAAGCAGCCAAACGAGGCGGCGGCATCCAGTTGCAGTATGGCGGCTGGGACCAAAAGCTGGCAAAGCACAACCAGACCTCTGGAGGAAAGCTGCAGGGAGCAGTCAACGAACTCGGCTTTAGCTTGGGATGGATGAACGGACCAGATACACCAAGCCACGGATCCAGCGGCGAAATAG